AGACTACGTGAAAGCTTGAAATGATATTAAGAATGATTTTGATTAAGAAACGGGCAAGGAATATTCCACATTAGTGCAAATAATTGTGAAAGATGATGGCGGAAAAGCAATTGCGTGACCCTCGGTAAGTTGTAAGATGACATGTTATCACGTATCAGACAAAAATTAGTATAAATTCTCAGTCTGCAGTTTGTACCCAGCCTGCAGTCTGCATTTTGTACCTAGTCTGCATTTTGTACCTAGTCTGCATTTTGTACCCGATCTGCAGTCTGCATTTGGTACTGACCGGATTGGTATTGCTGTTTTTTTTTCGAGCGAGCCTCAAGCCTAGACCGAAATATTGGAGCTCGAAAAAACCATTTTAGTGAGACTATCTTGGCCGCCATGATTGATTATAAAAAGGCCACTAGCTAATCTCATTTTTAGCTCATTCAAGCTCATTTTGTATCACAAGTGTGGACTGTATGTTGAAGAGCTCCCGTATACCAACTGAAGACGAACGCAAATGTGCGGCTTACCAGTCTGGCTGCCTCTGATGCTCTTCCTCGTGGTCACTGCGTGTGTTGGAATGAACCCGCTACGTGCTTTTGACTTTCACTAAGTGGGGAGGAGTAGCATGCTTCCGTTCACGGTACACAATGCAACTTCCGTCTACGGAATACAACTTCCGTCCACGGTCTAAAAGTTCCGTAAGCATCTGCTTCAACACGATCCTAATGAATGGACAGTGAATCTTTAGGTCTCAGTGCTGGCCGATATTCTCACGTTTGACACTCCATTAAAAACATTTCCTCTGACATTTTTCAACGAAGCAAATCGTATATTATTATTGCAATCCTTTTTTATATTTCTTTAGTGCACGTAGAGCTCATTGAACTAAACAAGTTAAATACTTATTCGTCCGTTAATAAATAAACATGCGGTCAATCTTCCACAAACTCCCTCCGCGATGCATAAATTTCGTCAATCGTGACTTTTGCCTCGTATCGTGATATAATCAATCCAACGTTAATATGAAATATTAAAGCTGCTTGCATAATTTTGATTCTGCCGTTAGCCTGTTTGGACCTCACATTTGGCGATTTCGTTCTTAAGCTTTGGATGTATAGACAAAAGCCATAAAAGAAACAAAATTTCATACAAAGAAAGTTGAAACACCCGTTCAGGAAAACGCTCGGTTGGCAAGTCCGGCAATGAATAATAATCACAGTGATAAGCAAACTCGGAGAGAGCTGCAACTTGTATTAAAATGCTGCTTAGAAACGAAGCGATTATACTTAATCGAGCTAAAACGAAGACATTGTCTAAGCTTTATCCAATTTGCATTTGGTGATGTTACTACCACGAATGTTCAATTGTATACTGCGCCATCGTCAAGTGAATCATTTTCGTTCTCTAAAGTTAGTTTACAAATGCACGTTGTCTGTTGGTCGCATCTCGATGACAATCGCATCTATTCAGTGTCAACTCGATCTTCTAAAAACAAGAGTTCTTAGGCACTTGTCCGCTTTCAGGACCAGTTTCGCGGCCGGATATCTCTCTGTTAACAGGTGTATTTTGGCCAGTGAAGTTACATTTTCCATGAGTCGATTAACCTAACCTAGATGTCTCTTCCTTCAGAGATAGTCCTTCTTGGGCGGAGAAAATAACATAAAATATAACCGAACTCACCTATCTTAAACATATGCTACATGTGAGCTATACACTTTGTCATTAAACAAAAGCGGTTAATATGATGCCATGGCAAACGGTGAATAAGAATTAGAAGAAAAATGACCAATAACAAGAACAACAATGATAATGACAAAAATATAAATTATTGTGATGACAATAGTAATGGCATTATCTGAATCGAAAAGAAACGAAGAAGGATGTCGTTGTAAAATTATAAAATGTTACGAAGGATTCTTGAAAAAGTACTGTTTTAGATCTGTAAATGTTACACTACAAGAAATTTTGAATTTTTTCAAATTAATCCTGGTGTGATTGTTCGTTATTTTCGTTCATTATAAGAGTACATGGTTTCCTTTGGTAGGCTGCCTTACTTATTTAAGTTCACAACCCCAAAAGTAGTTTCACCCTTTGTATCAATGTATCGGCGATACATTGATACAAAGTTCTTGTCAAGCTGAACAATCCATTTTTTTAATGATAAGCACTGATGTATAGTAACTTCGCTTTCTCATCACAGGAGTTCTTTATAACACGGAAAATTCATTTTCTTTTTGAAGTAGATTGCATTTCCTTGCCAACGAAAAAGTAAGGTCTAATTTTTTTTGGTAAATTTACGAGCAATTTTAGTGCTGTTCATTTTAGATTTTGTTTGTCTCTATTAGCAATTTCGAAAAAGTAGCAAAGCAAAAGATGCCATTTAGTTACTGAGTAGTTAAGAGACAAAATTAAAACTACATGTATTCGGTGAAAAATATAATTTTTTATGAATCATGGATTCGGGTTAAAACGAGAGTATGCGGATAAGTGAAAGAAAACAATGAAATCCTATACATTTTAGCAGAAGTTTTGTGTAAAATCGCCAAATTTGTAGAGTAGGTACATGAAAATACAATTAGGTAATGACAACCAAGTTTGACTTATGGCCCTCAGTATCGTACGTTCTTCTAGAAAACAACTTATTTAATTTTGAATAAACAATCCCATTTGCAGGCCACTTCAAACATCCAAATTTGTCAACGTGTCATGATGATGGGTAACTTTTGTCTTCGAGAAGCATCAACGTGTTTGGCACTATTAACTCTTACCAGCGCTTTATGGAATCTCCCATTGGTCAGAGGTGAAACATGCGATTCCAAAAAAAATAGTAAGTAGAGTTTACTTCTTTTAAACGTCCTGGTCAAAGAGCATGTATATGCCTATGTTTTTCTTGTATGCGCATTAAATGAATGCGTGTATGTACAGAAAGTGTAAAATGTAAAAAACAGCTCTCAGTCAGAGGATCCAAAGGTATCTTCATCAAAATGTTTAGCATGTGTAGATAAGAAAGGACGAAGATAAACTCTTGACTGATCCAGCGTTTAAATAGACGACGTCTCGACCTTGGGCCTACTTCGGGTGGAACATAAAAAAATAAAAATTAACATTAAAAAGCTGCATTCAAAATTCAAAATTAACATTAAAAAGCTGCTTTAAAACTCTTGATCGGTCAAGAGTTTGTCAACTAAACTTGCTAAATTTGTAAGATAGATTTATTGATAATCTTTCTCATATACAAAGAGATTGTGCATTATTCATTTTCTTTTATCATTATTCAATCTCTCCAACCCAGTCAGACCTGTTGTGGACATCTCTTCAAGTCCAGAAAACAGCACATTACCCATTGGTGCCTCCATTACCCTGAATTGTACAGCGGAGCCCAGGGGAGAAGACACATTATATCGGGATAGATTTGTCAAGTATATCGAGTGGTACGATCCACAGGATAACAAAGTTGTAGCTAAGTGCGAGCAGCCTTCAGAAAAAGGAAAAATACGTTTAAGCTGTCCATTAGTGCTTAAAAATCTGACAGTTGACAAATTTGGCCGCTACAACTGCCAAGCCGGCAACGGTTACACAAAACACTGCACAAGGAAATCATTTGAAATAGTGATTCAAGGTAAGTAAACCAAGCTTATCATACCCTTAGTAAATAATTATTCCACTCGTGCTTGTTGGATAAGCGATGATAGATGGCCAACGAGGCTTATAGGGCCGAATTGGCTATAATCATCTCGTATCCAACAAACGCGAATAGAATAATTGTTTTATAGAAAACGCCTCAAAACATAGATACAAACGGAACGTTACAATGTACCAAAACACTTCCGGTTTGATTCGTCTTCATGCTTGCACATGGTAAAATGACCCATAGCCCATAATTGCTAATCCAATGAAAACTCTTGAATTGCATTATCCAATGATCCAGTTTTAAAAATATGAAAGTAGACTCATCATTTGTTTAATTCAGGAATAAGGGGCCTCGAATAATCAGCTTCTAAGAAACCCTTGGAATGTATGGACAGGCAAGTCCAATTCATAATTCATTGCAAAAGGAAAATTCCGCTGTGGTCATTGGCTAACAAGGCCCGAAATGCACTGTTCAAAGAACGAAATTCTTCACGCTGATAACGATTAAATTTGAATCAGGAGCAATTCGATTGACCTGTCCTAATGCATATCATATTACTTGGTACAGTGGAACCTGTATTAAGCGGCCATTCACCGGGAACGGTGGTGACCGCTTAATTTAGGTTGACCTCTTAATACAGGCTCCACGGATAAGGAGTATTATTAAAAAAAATGATAAAAAACCAAAAAAACAAAAACAAAATTGAAACAAACACAACGCCACTAACGCCACTGTTAAAATTGACCACTTTATGTACAGAATCTCGATCAAAGATACTATTAACTTCGATTTTGGGAGAGAAGCATAAATAAAAAAAATTATTTGAAGGATCATACTTATTTTCATTCGAGTGGTTGGGCTATAAGTGGCTATTAAAAACAGGTGGAGGGCAATACAAAGAGGCCGTTGGGACTTTGTAAAGGTTGACTACGACCGCTAAGTAGAGGTAACCGCGTATTACCGGTAAAAATTATGGTGATTAAGAGGAGACAAACTGGACACTTTGGCAACCGACAAACACTAATGCAACCTACTGCTTAACACAGGGTAGTCGCTAAATACGGTGCCGGTGATGCTGTAGCAGAAAAAAACCTACATATTCCTTGGAAGATGAGAAAAGAATTATTTTGTGAAAAAAAAAAGGAATGATGATAATTAAAATGAAAAAGGGAAGAGGTTCATAACCCGGCAAGGGAGAGTTGGCCTGAAATAGTTCCTTCTGGGTACCTGTATAAGCAGTTCATCTTCTTGTGTGGCATAAAAGTATGATAATGAAAATATCCTCTCGTTCTGCCGTCATTTGCTTATGAAATTAACTTCATACCAGATTATCTCAGTAACAAAAGGGGATATTTATTGCAATGTATTTTCCCTACAGGTCTTGCGCCAGAGTTAGTAGAAGTTCCTCGCAACCAAAGCATTGATATAGGGGCCAATGTAACTTTCAACTGCACCGCCACAGGTCTTCCTAAGCTAAGCATTTCATGGATCAAAAACAGTGATTCATCTGCCTTACAAACCAACTCAAGGGTGACATTCAGTTCAAGTTATAACAATTTAAGTTCATCAAAAAACCACAAAACCATGCAAAGCCGGCTGTTTATTACAGGAGCGAAGAAAGAAGATTTTGGCAAATATCAATGTGAGGCCAAAAACAGTGCTGGTAAAAATTTGTCGCTGCCAGCTTTCTTAACCTCGAAAGATTCAGGTTAGACATGAATATGCATTAGTGTATGTTTGTCCTCCCTATCACTTCAAAGTTGAAAACCCACGAAGTCTTCCCGTTGCATGTCAACTCAGTCTCCCAGTTGAAATTTCCCCAACACCAAGTAAGCGAGAAAAGCTCGGCTTTTGGATGATTGCCTCTTGGTGTACATTTCCGTAGATTGTAAAAACTCTCGGAGTGTCACCAGAGTATCAAGAGCTAGAAAATGAGCAGTTTTCTGTGAAATGTTTATACAAATTTTTTAAGTTGTCATGTCAGTTTCACCCGGTCACTGTACCTCCTCAGTCTTCTTATCATCAAGACTCCCCTTTAAGTTCAATTCTCTTCAAACCGGGTCATTCGAGCGGCAAAAAAGCCTTGGGCCCCGACATCCCAAAGAAAGATCACAAATGAGACAATTCATAACTTCCCATTCATTCATATTACTTAATTTTGTTTCAATTGTCTAGATGACCAGAAACCTGAGATCGTTGAGGGTCCAAAGAACCAAAGTGTCCTGATCGGTTCCAATGCTACCTTAAGCTGCACTGTTAGGGGTCTCCCAAGGCCAACAATCCGCTGGATAAAGGACAATTCTTCATACCCTTTACAGTCTAATCTCAGAGCACGTGTCATTCCAGACGGGCCAACCAATCGCAGCCAGCTTTTTATAACGAGAGTACAGATGGAAGACTATGGAAAATATCAATGCATTGCAAATAATAGCATTGGAAGAAGCCAATCAGGAGTAGCTGTCTTGAACAAAGGTTAGGTTTTTTTTAAATGGAAGGGAAAAAAATAGGGTGAGAGGGGTCCTTAACTACAAGTGCTGTTCTTAAGAACAACGTATTTTTTATAATTTATCCACAGCAACTCCTACTCTCACCCACGTGAAAAGAGAGCCAGAAAATTCAGCATCTCAGACAACTATAGTCGCTGTATCATGCACTTTGGCAGCTGTAGTTATTTGTGTAGTCACTGGGTTTGTGTGGAATCGGCGTAGAAATCGTGATAAGGAGGTAAATAATGCGTTACGTTACATCCCCACACAGAGTAATGATCTCCTCTGTCCGTCATGCGACTTTGCTTGTGCTGGCGTCTAGACGAATGCTGGGATTGACCAGCCAAGAACCATGCAGTTTTCTCAGGGGTTAAGATGCAGAGTCGAGAAAAACTTCCCAAATTCAACTGATTATTATCATTATTATTGTTAGTATTATTATTATGAGTTGTTTTCCCTTTCATGGTGATTTCCGTCAGTTTGGCTTTATTTGGCAAAATTCGGTCTTTAAAATGAGTCAAGGCTTTGGAAAATGCCCATTTCTGTCCCTACTTGGTCTACTCCAAATTGTCCTTTCCTCAACTTTGGGTCTGTAAATACCTCATGCAGAAACAAGCAAAAGCTTGCGCGACCCATATTTAGGGGGTTTATGAAGCAGTTCAATCTGAAAAAAAGCTATATTCCTTACTTACATACCTTAGAATTATCACATTTGAGGATTATCGTTGTGAAAGATGGTGTGTCTATTTCAGCTAAATTTGTTTGCTTTTTTATCAAACAAACGCTATTTAAATCGCATACGACTAGTAAATCAGAGTGCGAGAGATTTCAGTTCGTCCAGTTTAAATTCATGATTATGAAGGGGACTCAAACAAGTGATGATGATGATAAATCTTGGATAGATATCACAATTGCCTATTCTCTTAAATCATATGACAGGGACGAAAACGTGCAATAAAGGTGTATCTGAAAAAAGGCCAACAGTTGAAAAATGGGATACAGGACCTTGAAAACAATCGGTCGCCCAATAGCCAAACCATCGAAACCCCCGAGGAAAGGCTCCCGTTAGTGGGGGATGGAGTAGGGAACAGACTGCCTCCAGACGGAAGCGAGCAGGATGATTCGGTGCAAGGAATAAAAGATAGAGGTCAAGAGAGATTAGAGTCGGGTGAGGGGATTGCTGGTGGTCACATTTTCACAGCTGATAAACACTTAGGTGTCGACGAACAGCGGGATTGTGGAGAGATATCTCAAGGGACCGAGGAAGAATCTGAAAACTTGGAAAATCTTGAAGTGTTTGATGAAATACTCGGAGAAGGCGAGTTTGGAATCGTCTACAAAGGTCGCTATGGTGGGAAAGACGGAAACATAACAGATGTAGCTGTGAAAAAGCTAAAAGGTAGGTACACGAAATCGAAATGTCTATTTGTTAATTCCTGAGTACAGTGGTATACCTCTAAACTGATTTTTTTTTTCTTTTTCGAAGCTATGCACCATCTTGATTTTTTCATCATTTTCTTTTTGGTGGAAAACACCCATAAAGTCTGCTATTGCCTCCTCTGAACGCTTTCTGTAGCCTTAACCAAGCCAGTTTTTTCCATACGTAATTTTATTACCATAGCCAGATACGATGAGCGAACTACGTAAAATGAAGCAATTTAAGAAATGCCCTTGTTTTTTTTCTCTACGTCATTGTAGACCCTAGTGCCATTGCCAAAGAAACCCTGCTTAATGAGATAAGGACCTTAAAGCAAGCTGGGAAACATCCTAATATTGTCACTTTGATTGGCACAAGGATGGAGGAAGGTAAGTCAGTTTTCGACGATGCAATGCCGTCTTAGAAATATGCGTGTTTACTTGGTGATTGACAGTAACATGGTAACGTTCCAGCCGCGTGTAAGATCAGTTAGAACAGTGCATGTACTGACCTTATGATTAAAGACAGATGAGTACACTTAATACATGTCATGTTAAAATCTGTGCTTCTTGATCGGAAAACATTTTTTTCTGGGCTAATTTCAGGGAAGTTCATATGAAATTTTTTTCCTGTTTTTTTGGGCACCAACTAAACCTAAATTACCGACGAATCATCTTTTGATCAACCCAAGGTGCCAATAATGTCTAATTTCTTTCTCTTGTCAACTCTAATGTGTTTGCTCTACTCTCTCAAGGAAACGTTCTTGTGGTCACTGAATTGATTCATGGTGGCAGTCTGGAAAATCTTTTAAGGGCGCCAGGGGAAAGGAGCAATTATCATAATGTCTGCTGTAAGCTGAATGACCGGCAACTGGTCACAATTGCATTTCAGATCGCCATGGGAATGCAGCACTTAGAGGAGAGAAAGGTAAGACCGGCTGGCAGTGTGTAGAGGTGTAGAGGTAAATTTTCCAACCTTCCATTAGAGATGACTGTTCTCAAGAGATTAGAGACAGTTGATAATCTCTTGCTGCACTAAATATAACGCGGGCAGTTCGAGGTTTTGAAGTGGCTTAAAGACATATTGGCGATCTCGGGCATTTTGGTTTAGGCCATCCAATCATTCGTGAGCCTCTGTTAAGCAAATATTTATAACGCAGGCAATCCCAGTTTGTAAATTGTCTTCAGAACACCTTGAGGATCTTTCGCACTTTCGTATAGGCCACTCGAAGCGTCTCTAAGCAAAAAAAATTATACATTGTCTTCTCTCACAGTTTGTCCATCGCGACTTAGCAGCGAGGAATATTTTAGTTGATGCCAACTTGGTGGCTAAAGTTGGAGACTTTGGATTAGCCAGGGACATATCCGCTGCTGGTATATACACCATAACTTCCAGCGTAAGTACGCTTTTCAATCAAAATCAACAACTAAACAGAAAAATGAAAGAAACTGAAATGCATTTAAATTGATACTCTTCCTTGGTACAATCGAGCAGAATAAATGAATTTATTCTAACGATATAATTTACATTGAAACTGTCAATGAACTGTGTATTATGTGACACGTTTACTTAATTAATCATAACAATTACAATTTCTTCAAATGTGATTGATGCACAAGGCGCTTTATATTTCACAAATTTTTTCCGTAGATTTGTAATCGGACAGTTAGCTGTAATTGGACACCTGTAATCGGACAGGTTAAGCAGCCAATCCTACCCAGCCAAATCCACCGAACACAGAATTGATTACATTAACTATAGAAACAACCATTTTACCCAAAAAAACTGGGGAGTTTCGTGACAAACAAATCGGACTCCCGCTTCGTGGCCCTCTGATTTGTTAATCACTCGTATAATTACAGACCGAATTGGACTCCATTCGGTCTTTTACCATTATTAATTATGGGATAGTGTCTGAACCTAGGATAATGTTAATAACAATAAAAATAATGGGCACGCTAACTATTACTCTGGTTTTTTACTGGAAATCAGTTATAATTATAAACCATTATATATCTTAACGTCGAAAAAGAACTCGCTTACTATAATGAATGCATCCTTCCGTTTCATAAGTCATCCGCTTCACAGTTTCAAAGGGCATTGCCTGCACTACAAACAGTAACTTGCTCACATGAATCTATCTTTTCAACAGGGCAAGGTTCCGTGGAGATGGTCGTCGTTAGAATCTCTACGAGATCTGCATTTTACATCCATGAGTGATGTGTAAGTTTCATATTGTCTTTGTCAGTTTTCTGTCTCTTGACTTCGAGTCGAAAGTATTGCCTAGTTGAAAGGATTTCCGAAAAAAAAAACTTCTGCCGTGCGCTCGATTATATCCCTTGGAGCATTGTCATGGTTACATCTGGGCTTTCTTTTACGTTTTTTGTTTGTCTTCATGTACATGTACATGCATGGTGTATCTATACCAATTTGCATTTATGGACACACCATGGGAACTTAGTGTGACTTAAGAAATTCCTTCCTTCAAATCGAGCATCATATGCACATATTGCCTGATTGAAATTAATACCAGAGGCAAGGTCCACATAAAAGGAAAGACTCAACGAAGTTTTGAGTGATGTAAATATCCATTAAACACTAAAAGAATACGAGACTCGATCTTTAATCAATTCGGCGCTAATAGTTCGAATTCTTTATTCATTGAAGTTATTAACCCTTTCACTCCCAAGATCTCATTGTTAATTCTCCTTACTGTCTACCACACAATTCTTTATCTTCTATTCGGAGAATTTGGTATGGGCTCAACTAATAATCTCTTTATTGGTAATTTTTTTAAAAATTAAACCGTCTTTTCTTAAATCACATCACTTGCCTGCTTGATATTGTATTGATATTGTAAGGAGAAATTCTGTTTTGGGCTAAGGCCTTGATACTTATTTGCAGCTGGTCATTTGGTATCGTTCTATGGGAAATCACCACTTATGGTAAGTGTGATGTGTTACTATGTGCGACTTAAACGACATCTTATGAACTACAAATCATATTCTCGTCACGAGGCTCCAATCCGTAAAGCAACCCAAAGTTAGCAAGGCTGTTCTGTAAAGCTAACAATATAGACACTAGTATCTTCATTTTGAAAATGACTATTGCCAGTCGGACGAAACTAAACAAGATGAGAAGACCGCTTCCAGGTATAGGTTGTGCTCGTGTCAAACATTTTATACGTGCTATATCTTATTTGTCACAGTGCTGCACTTAATTTTATCTACCTAAATCATCCACATAAAGTCTTTGCAAGTCTCTATTTATTCACAAAGTTATTGCTGAAATACTTATTGTCTTAAATGGTATTCTTTAAAAACTGAAATCGTTAAATCATATCTTATATCCGCCAAACAGGTGAGTTGCCATACTCTGACATCACAGGGCCAATTGCCTTAGTAACTCGACTTGCTTCGGGATACCGGATGCCTCGTCCCGATCGATGTTCGGAAGAACTGTAAGCTATAAAGCCCTAAATAATGCTGGTAAAATTCAATTGAATCATTGAATATCAAGAAGGCTATAAAAAATGGACGTTTATCTCCCGGATTTTTCTAAAAGTAATTGAAAAGCGTTTTACCTTTCGAGCAAAGTCTCGCAAGATCCGCTGACATCATCAAATCAAATGTCACATTCGGCCAATATGTGATCTTTTGATGATCATTGTCATGAGTTCAAAATCACCCCTTTGCACCCCTTTCCACGCTTGGTATGGTCAATTCAGATGCTGAGGGTATCAGTTGCAAGACAATGTTAGCTAATACTGTACTGAATTTTTAGATATGAGCTCATGAGTTCTTGTTGGAAAGAAAATCCTTTGATGAGACCAGCGTTTTCGCAGATCGCTCAACAGCTGAAGAATTTTTTGCGAGAAGTGAAGGTAATTAATGATTGTATTTAGAAGGTTTCTTCCCATCCTTTCGCTGTTCTAAAAATTATATCTGCCCTCTTCTTCCTCCTTCCATTTATTCATCTTTGCTTCCCTTCACCCTTTCATGAATCCCTTTGTCACCCTGTCAGTCCTTCTGATAAACCTTTTATCGTCAACTGCAGCTATCCACCCATCCATTCGTGCACATAGTCATCCTTTCCCGTCTATCTATATGACCTTATTTTTCGTCCGTTCCTTCTTTTGCTTGTTCCTAAGTCCATTCTCGATTAGATTTAGTTCTTATACGTTGTTTCTATCATTATTCAAATTTTTTTGCGACTAATTTATTCCAATGATTTAATTCAGAGGACATATACAAATATCACAGAGGTCAACGATGGAGAAGCTTGATGACGACACCTTGACGCTGAAGCAAAAACCTCATTTTATTTGATTAATAATATAGGAAGATAACCGCGAGATCTCAAATAAGCGCATATATGTATAAGGTCTGATGATCATGCTTAAAGGAATTTTTATTGAACCAGGTGCCGATTAGGCTCAAAAGGTCAGAATCAATTTGTTTTCCTTTGTGGAGGATAGTTTTCCTCACAATAGGTAATGCAAATCAAAGCAAAGAATAAAACGGTGTATCCTGTATTAATTACAACGCTTTAGTGGCTAAGAAAAATGATTGCTATCACGTGAGTAGACTAGATTACCGTAGACTGCATTTGCTCAAAAAAAATCTAAGCACTTATCTGATGTAACTTGCATCAGTTGCTCCTTATCTGCCGCACGAGTGTTTTCTTCGCCCGCAGGGAGACTACTCTTCTTCCGTGCTCTAGCCGCTTCCAGCGTGCTTTACAACAGAATAGAACACAGTCCAGCCTTCTTTATTTGTTAAATAAAAGATGGACCTTTTGAAAGATAACGACTTTCGAATAAGATTTAACTAAAATCAGGGTTACAAAAAGCAAGGGGTGAGAAAATACGTTCACTTACGAAGTGTGACACGCGACACAAGACAGAAATAATCTTCAGCGAAATAACATCCTAAATATCTCTACCAAAGTAATGATAATTATATTAACATGTAAATGGATTTCAAGTGTATAAAGAGAACGATTTGATTCTGTATTACAGCCAGAATAAAGTTTTAACTCGACTTTATTTCCGGTTGGCATGTGCTTAAGTCTTTTTACATGTCATTCAAATGTCTTTCTTCAAAATATTCTTCATTAAATACAAACTATTTACACCATCATAATTGGCGAATATTTGTTATATATATACATATATATATATATCATGTGTATAAAAATAATAAAATGAGCCGCGATAACCAACGCTACAGTTGGAACATTTCATTGTTCAATAGCTTGCGATCAACCCCTTATTATAAGCGCTGCAGGAAGCGCGTTTCTCCGCCCGCGGGAAGATTCAAGACAAATTGGGGAGAAATTTGCAAGACCACGGCAAACCCTTCGTCGGCTCGCGTTCCTCGCGTACTTTCGGCGGAAACACTCGCACCGAAGTGCTTATAATGAGGACCAACGCGGAGGCTTATCGGTCAAAGCAGTGAAATATCTTCTGGGAAGGCTTACTCAGCCTCACTACGACGCAACAATGGCTGCATCTCGACAATCATCAATCACTACAGGAGGGCGGGCTAATATTGCGACAAACAAAGTAAACGATAGATGTTTAGAGTTGGTGGTGTTTTCTTTCTTTTTTTCAAAAACAAATTTTGTATGTTAGTTCTATTGCTGTTTTGTGGCTTCTTAATTTTTTTTTTTAAATTTTTTGTTGATTTTTTGTTGTAGTGCGATCAAATACGCCATGACTGACAGAAGTTGAATTTAGTGAAACTGTGACCATCAACTTTTCTCTTTGGTGACCAAAAAAAAGATGCGTTTTTATCTTTTATCACTATAAAACAACTTCTCCTTTAAATAAAGCCAATTCTGAAAGCTGCTGAAGCGCTCTACTGAATCCTAAATATCGTTCAGAGGCTAGACACCATCATTTCGGGCCAAAATTTAATGGTAGAGGTTGATGGTTCCCGAAGTGCTCCTAGGAGTCTTTGTGTCAGAAGCTGTTACTCAAGCCTTACAGCCTTACTAATGATTGGTAATAAAGCTATCACAGAAAATAATAATCAAGAGTTCACAAGAGATCTAACGAAGGGTGGCTTCGAAAGCAATGGTAAGACAAGTAAAAAACACCTACTGAGATGAAAGAAAACTACCTCACAATTTTCATGGTTTCGACCATGGTCAGTTCACGATGAACAGTCAGACAAGAATATAACGTAGATTTGAAATACCAGCGAACCCAATAGCTAATCTGAACAGATGAACACAACAGCCGATTCTATTTTGGCTTTTTCTACCGCCTGGCAGCTGCCAGGCACTGATTGGCGGAAACTCGTCTCGTCTTAGTTGTCATCTTTAAACTGGACAGCATCTGATCATATCATCACCAGCTACGGCTGGATCGCCTACATCGAGGCATTTTCGCTCCATTTACTGCACCTTTTCTTCAACAACTTAAACATCTCACACGTCTGTGACGTCTGCCGATCGTCTGCATAGTAACCAAGTTCTTTCCACTCGTGGTTCTATTCTGTCCTTCTCTTGGCGTTTTACTGAAGTTGCTTCAATCATTTTAGGTTTCCTCTCTTCTAAATCATATCCCTGTTTTCGTTTTTTCAGACGGCAAAACAAAATAATGTTCACCATGATCGACAGCAGAAGGCAGGCCATTAAAGGAATCATGATCGTCCAATTAAGTTCTGAAACTGAACAAATATAACATTGGTCAGACCTCACGTGTGAATGGTGTTTATGCACGTACTCTGTGGGAGGCCTCCGTTTAAAAATTCGGGTTTAGTTCAGCCGCAAATCACTGCCAACGCTCTTCGGTGCTCACGCAAGTGCAAGTTTATCACATGTACGCCCTCAAGAACTGATTGAAAGGCAGGTGAAACACTGTGTGAAAGGATAATACTTTCCCTTTTCTTTTTTCCAAATGATTTTCACGTGCCTTTCACGTGTATACGAAAGTACATGCGGAATAGGTGTGAAACCGTACGAAGAGTGCTAAGATTTAACATTAAGAGAGCCAGATTTGCGACTAGTTGGGGGAATTTTAATCTCGACAAAACGTCTGACCATTTGAACTGAACGGATCCTCTCAATTTTTTTGGGTATAATTGCATCATGGCAACAGTCTGAAGGAAATTCATTACAGCTTAGACACTCGGACATCCGCACCAGTAATCGGAAGGTTATATTTCTGGCGACGAAGCTTGGCAATGAAGCACTTATTGGAGAGCCCTATCTTTTACCTGGTTTTATAGGACTGCTCAGTTCAGCATTCACTGGGTGACCAACTACACTTGCGTCTGTAGTCGTGGCCGGTTTTTCAGCAGCTTTTGTTCTTGTGGACGATTCGCTGGTGCCTGTTGTTCTTGTTGACAACGTGACCTTCTCAGTGGGCGCATTCGTAGTGGTTGAATTAGTGGTTTGAAAAGTGGTTGTGGAGCTTGTAGTCGTAGATGGAATGGTAGATTTTAAAGTTGTAGTTGAAGTCGTTGGAGCTTTAGTAGCAGTGGTTGTAGGTTTTCGGTTGCATCGGGGATCTTAAGAAAGAAAAAAAAGAAAAACGATAACAACATTAGTAACGTATAGCTGGTGCGATGGACACCATGCAAACTTGGTAAACTACCAGTAAAAAAAGGTCTAGAAATTTCGGCTATCACAGCAAAAGTCATCTTCGGACGCAACAGTTTTTAAGAATCTCGTCACCCTTCATGTCAGAAACGCAACTCCCCGTTCTATTGTTCCACTTTAAACTTCGTCAGACGTTTAATAAACGATATCCAAATTAGCATATATCTTTTCATCAAATCAAATATCACATTCTGAAAGGTGAAAACATATTGGCCAGGAATGTTGCGTTTTAAGGAAAAAGAAAAATTCTGCATGAACGTATCAGCATGTAGAAAATAAAGTTTTAGGTCATTTAAAACATTACTGAGGCTTGCCCACATACGCCACTGGTCTGTCTCTTATTCTACAGTACTTTTCACTAACTACAGGTTCTCACCTTTAGTGTTTTTACAAACATATATCCGTAGTTTCATTTTGTTGTGTTTACAGTTTCCTCCTGATCGACTGTCTATTGAACCTTGCGTGCCATCTGAAGTCGCTGAAATGCGAACAGCATAACATTGCAAATGTCTTCAGCGATGATTTAAAGTAAAAAACAAAACAAAAAAGGCATTTTGAAAAAATTATTGGTTTTTTTACCGGTGTTAAAAGTCTTCCACTTCCAGGAGTTTGATTTCGTAGAATAAAGGTAAATCACGAAACTACAGAGTATTGTAGCAGTTAATATTGCTATGAACTTTTCCATTCCATCGAAGCTTTTTACCGATTTCCGCATAATAATGCAATAAAGAGTAATGCCATTCTGCCTGGAAGGGCTGCTAGTCTAACTCAAGAAACCCTAACACTAACCCTAACGCTAACCCTAACCTCCACTGACTGAGGCGTGAAAAAAGTACCTAAAATTGAGTTATTCGATGGAAAACATACCTATAAGATAATATTCTCGGCCTGGATTGAACACCTGGCTTGACACAGCGCTGAACCTCTGAAACACCAGAGTGTAATACTTCAGCGCCAGGGGGGTGGTACATCGTTGAAGAAGCCTACTCCCCTTAGAAGAGTCTGTACTACAGCTGTCATAATTGTCGCGTGACACAATCCAAACATTTTCATAAAGTTTGTCTTTGGGCGTATTGTCTCGAACCTTTTTCAAGACTGTGGACGGATTTGGACAAACGATGTGAAGCTTGGACATCGGAAGGACATTGAGAACGCTGTCACCATTGCCAAACCTAAAAGAGGGTTAAACAAAAATGTTTAAACAATTAGAATTATAATGAAATGCAAGAAACTTTATCAAGGTGGAGCTCATACTTATGAGCTATCCAAATGACTAGACAATATTGGCAAAATAAGAAAATCAACGGAAATCAGCTATATATTCAAGAACCCTTGAGGAGAATGATCAGAAAAATAAACAACTGACAACACGCACATACATTAGTTCTTCAGGCAACGACAAAAAGAAAATGCAAACAGAAAGAAAGCCGTTCCTAGAACCTCTGAGGGCCACGTACGTTTAAAAAAAGTGGATCAAATTCGAAAACTGTGGTTTTGGTTTGAAAGTATAAATTAGTCTAATGCGAAAAAAACTACTTAGAAATTATTGAGACAAGAAAACTACGTCAAGAAATTGGTGAGGAACATAATTAAGTTCTATTCCCAGATATAAGTTTTGTATAGTATGTTTTGTTCTCTATGTATTGAAAAGGCGGACGGACGATGTCTCTATATGAGGGCCCGAAATATAGAGTGCTTTAGAGGTTACGACAAATTAGAGAACAAAAATTTTTCTGCTCAAGGTAAACGGGTGTAACTTATGGGTGGGCGGAGGAAATGAGGTCGGACGATGTTACTAAAAAGAGTACACTCTGATATTTTGTAATTTTTCGAAGTGCTTATTGAAAGGGACTGTAGAGTGGAATGATGGGGGAATTGAGAAACCATTTGTTTGTTGCACTCTCTCTATCCTTTACTGTACGTATTATGACGCTAACAACTCATTAAATGCGTCAAACATGCTTCCACTTTTACGTTACGAAATGGTTACAAAACAGAATTTATAAAGTGCGCCGAAAAGTTCAAGGCATTTGCTGTAGGGAGAGTTTAATGAACCATTTGTTTTTCACACGCTTTCTTTCCTTTTTTTTAAACGTAATTTCCGACCAATGAGGGGGCATGTCGAGTCTTTCACAATTATATTGTGATATGCGCATGAATGACAGAAGTGTAACGTATATGCCATATGCCTGTGCCACTTAACTCAATTACTCGCTGGCGTTGAAAACCCTTTGCGGGAGAGCAAAGAAAGACTAATTTGTCTGCTATTCCAAAAACATAAAATATTTCGTATTCTGCAAATTAATTAGGCCCCATCGAGGATTTTGATGGAAAAACAGATGTGGTTTTAAGGGGGCAGGATCCAATTTTCCGACAAGGCGCGTTATTATTGTCGGTTTTTTTTGTTTACACATGAGAAAAAACACCAAACCAGAACAAATCCTGAAAGTTTTCCTATGCTTTCCCGAAACCCCTTTTATGGGCGTGATATGAGATAACCATGATAACCAATTACTTCTGTCCATGAAAATCACGCGAGAAAATCCATTGATGTAATTAACATCTAGGAGAACCTGCGAGGTCTGGAAATTTCAGTAAAACAGCCTTCCTCACGGACAGGTATCTTATAACGTTTGAAGACCGAAATTTATCCGTACCCCTAGCAATGAAAACCGCAACGCCACCAAAATCAGACATAACTGAAGAAACCAAAACAAATATAGGAAACTGAGATTGAATTGATTACATTCATTCATTTAAAATATTTTTTTTAATCTTATATTCGCAAATAATACACCGACAATGTTTTCCAAATTGGCCGCAAAAACATCCTGCTAGACTGAAAACTGTGTAAACATAGGCGCTGGTGGTCTAAAAGACACAGACCTCGGAATTTGTTTAACTTTTAAGAGAAAGTTAAGTTGAAACATTCAAAACTAGTAATATGGAGAGAAAGAGACCGCCAGCGATATTGTTTAGCTCGGATCGAAAGAAAATCAAGATTGTGACAATATGCGTGACCAAATCCGCCGCCGTACTTATATAGTCACACCTGTAGATATGACGCGAAAACATTTTCTCTTCGTAAATATATTGATGTTTCTTGACAAATAAGGTTGGGAATATTTTGCCGAAAAGGAAAAACAACTGATATTGAACGTCTTTTGGCTACTTTGCTACCTTTGAAGTGGGGCTAAATTGTGCGAGAAATCTTAAGTGAAATCCACCGCATAAACACTTATGATCGAAAGAGGAACATGGCCAAACTTGTTATATCGGTATCTTTCTTCTTTTTTAATCATTGCGGAGAACGCCTTTTTTGAAGGAAAAAAATCACTCGGAATGGATGCATAAATAGAAATTACTGTAGTTTAAGGTCATCCCTGGAATCTTCGCTCCAACCCAAGGGGTTACAAATTTGTGAAATTCTCCGACAAATTGAAACCATATGCACGAAATCAGATCCCTTCAGCCGAAAATAGTCTGTATTCCTCGTTAATCCTGTCTTGACAGATATCTTCCAAAACACATAATTATCATATGATTTTATCTCTTGCTCCTTTATGGCTCTCCGAAAGGGTAAGGTCATTCGCTTTCAAGAACGTATTCAAGTTTCTAACTTAAAATGTGACATGTTTTAATTCATGAGTGACAGGAAAACGATGCACACTCGACTTGCACGAATTGAAAACAGCGAAGCCCCCTTTTTCCTACCATTGGCGAAATATTTGGAGCTACAACTTATTTCCGTGAAAAGAAAACGATGCATATTGGAATGAAAGAGGACTGATAAATCTAGAGGAAGAAAATAAACAGATGCATGTTATTACTCGGGCTAAAAGCCTCAACAAGGTTCGGTTTTCCACAGATATGGATGTGCAGTGCTCATGTCGATAATATCACTCCACCCAGTGGTCATTAAAGGAAACTTCACTATATTTTGTTTGTGGGTTAAATGAGTGAAAAAAAAAAAACCCTTGAGAAAAGTTAGCGTTCAAAGTTTATTACATAAAAATCAAGAACCTTTTTCTCTAGTGGAAAAAGTGACATTTCTCTATTGCGTAGGAAACCTTCCAACTGTCCATCACGTATCTTACACTGGAAAGTTGTCTTAGACGTAAAACTTGAATTATATCGGATCCATGACCTACACTATCCCTTTCAAAGAACCTTTATTTGTAATCCTTTAATAGGGATGCGCAAAGTACACGCGAGATTAAAAAGATTGCGCGCTAAGTTCGAGAGGGTCTAAGTTAAAATTATCCTGAAAGAGTGTCGTTTCATTGAACAAACGAACGCTGCGAATCTACCTTCTCATTCGTGAAGATATTTCTGTAATTTAGCCCCGTACAACAACCTACTCATGACCTCACCAACGATAAATGTTCATCCATTTCGTAACAGTCGGACTGCCGGAACTCCGGCCGAGACGTCAGCCCAGACAACATTAGTTCGACAGAACAATCCGACATTCATATCGTAAACATTTTAAGTTGTGATTTGGACGTGCTAGACAGGGGTTTATTTTGAATTGTTCAGTCTCTCTGTCTCTCATTCATCTCCTCAGTTTCCTTAAAATTAGGTCAGTTCTTTCGGAGAAGAATTTTAAGAAGTACTTCTTGTCAGCTGGTTGCTAACTGTTTGGATTTCGTTGAGTGACGAGAAAAAGAAAATTCAGATCAATTACCCCTGTAAGGTGTTCAGAGTGTTCACAATTATATGGTATTCGCATTTTCACACGTACTCGCTGTGTCAAATTTAGCTCGGAAACTCCTCAAAAATCTTAAATCTGTCTAATGACGCCATATTCAAGGATGTTTTTCTCAAAGCTCTGACAAGAGTGAACTTGGAAAAAGCAAACAAGCTTATATCTCCGCGCGTATTTTGACAAATGTTGACTGGGGTTTGAGGTGAATTGCAATATTAGGTTACTAACATCAACATATATCATTTCATCACGTTCTAATTTTATGTCAAATTCTTTTTTGGGCAATTTCGATAACAATAACTATCAAATGTCCCCTTTTTCGGGAGAAATACATGTAGATTGTACGTATTAGTAAATTAAGTGCTGCTATCAATATGGCGACTTGTTCTCTCTTGGTGATCTGCTTACAATAAAAGTTATGGCAATCCTTGCCATCTCTCCTCTAATGTTAAGCGCAATTTTGTAGTTTTATAATGTGATTTTTGGCTGTGGATCTGATCTTCTTCGTGTGATAATCGAGTTATGTCGACAAGTCAACGTTGTTATCCTTTGCAGCAACGGAATAACTGAAAAATATGTGGGGATTTAAAATTCCTAGAGTTTGCAGACTGAGTAATTTTCTCCGCAAACAGGATTACCCCTGAGAAAGATCCCTAAAAGTCCAACGTGAAAATTGTTTCGCCTTTGTCTCGCATCTGCTGAGTTAATCAACCGTCTTCGTATTGAGCGCACCGTTGGCCAAATTAAACCGCCATATCTTCTTTTGTTCTGAGGGACCGCATTTTTATTAAACTTAATTTGCACTGGGTCATCTCGCACAATTCAATAGGTCATCCGTCTTTGTTTGAAATCACACAGCCAAAACCGACCAGGGAAATTTATGTCAAGCAGCTAAAGTAAAATTGATTTAAGGATATGAAATAAGCAAATAGAGTTTCCGGTTTGTGTTCTTAGTATTGTGAAACTTAAACAGCGTTTATTCTTGGTTTGAACATGAATAGATACATTTGTGTCCTGTCTTCCTCACTGTTAAACTGAATTCTAGTTTACCCAGCTGTTTTATTTGAAACTGCCATGACTTTTGAATACGTTTATAACCAAAACACGACTTTTATTATGCGGTATCCACTGAATGAAAATATCTTGCAAATTAAGAATTTCTAGTGCAGTACAAACTGTGTACACATCCATTATTTAGGAATGCCAAATTTATTAAATCTTCTTCTTGCTCTCGTCTTGAACACACTGGGTTTGCGCTGTTCCATGAACTTGGAAAGGTCATTGGTCTTATATTGATTAACAACGTGTCAGACTTTTATTATGCTTGTCTAAAAAGAGTAGTAAACTATATCATGCGTTAAGTTTCGTGTACTCTATTTTGACAAAGCACATATTGCACCGCGGACGCAAAACCGAACGCAAGGCTAATGTAAACAACGCACGACATGAGCGAAACCAAACAAAAGCTAACAAGGATAGCTAGGGATTGAAATAACAATAAAGAATCACGACAGCTCTGTTTGGCAATCTGAGATAAAACCATGTAGGAGCGGATTCTCGCAATGCTAAATTATTATTTCAACAAAAATACTAAACAAATGCAGTGTGAATCATGTCCATTCGCAAGTAAAACAAAGATGAGACATTCCCAATTCACGCTGAAGAAATACAATCGCGATAGCGCTAGTTTCAAGTTTCCCCATTGTGTTATCAGCAACTTTCGACACATATGAAGATAAGGGAAACCGCCAATAAATTTACGAAGTAGTTGCCTCGAACGCGATCGATCTGATAACGTTGATTGTCCTACGATCGAACAGCATAAAAGCACCGCACAAAACAGGTAATTATGGAACAAGACAATAGAAAATTGAGCTATTTCTATAGGGAGTGCAATCAACTAGTGTCAGAGGCTCAAACCGTCAAAATGTAATCACAGAAACACGAAAATGAAACGCGGACATGGCGCAAGGACATGAAACTCCACAAGGCAGCGAGTGATATTCAAGAAGAGCCAATGATTCTGCGTGCTTAATCTTATTAAATCATTACACACAAATGAGTAAAGAAAATGTTTGACTTACAGAGGATTTTGCGGAGACCAGTGAATCGATGGATAAACAGCACCCTTCAAAACATCGAAAAGAGCGACGATCTGAGCTAAAAGTAATAAGAAGGAATACGTTCGTCGCGGCATCGTGTAGGTGCTCGTTAAACGACGCAAGTCATGTGAAGTGAGGCGAGTTTTCTTGCTGTGGTTTTTCCCTCAGTTCCGTTCACCACAGTTGGAGAGAAGAATATTTCACAGCTTCCTCTCCAGCGAAGTCTTTAAACGCACCGGAAACGCTTTGATTCTCCTTAATCCTTCAGCCACAAATAACAAATGTTTTCATCGACGAATATCAGACTGTCATTTTAGCCCACGGCAAACCAATATGGTGAGAATACTGAGTGTACAGCTGTTGACAGATTGAGTCCCACACAGTATTATCACTTTCGCGGGTACAAGTCCTCTCGCCTCGCAAAACAGCAATGTGAAATTCCAATCTTATAACTTTCCCTCACAAGGATCAGACGCTGGTAAAGGCTTTATGGCTATATCTTGACCCCTCTAATTCTTAAATGCTCTTGGGAACACCGACACTCGAAACGGAAACCTCTCATTTATTCGTACGCATAATAGGCGTTGATGATAGGAGTGCTGATTTAGGACAAACCCACTTCCCACCCTTAGTAAGTACCGTTTTGTCCGTACCCTCCCCTAGCTGTGTGCTAAGAATTGTTGCTAAAACAAATTTCGCCAACTTATATTAACTTTGCAATTTATGTTCCTGAACATCTTAAGCCGAAGAGGAATTTTGTTGTTTGGTTAGGTATTAGAGTAACATATGTTCAAGATTAGCGAGTTCTAGTGCCTGCTGGCGATCTTAAGATGACCTTTTTAAGCCAAATCATTTGTATATCGAGTTGTTTCATTTGGTGTTCATTAAGCTAAACAATTTTATTTATGATTTTTGTGCCCCCTGCCGTAAAAACATTACATTATTGCCCACGAAGACCACGGAATGTATCGTATGGTTCCTATTACTCACTGAAGTGACAAAGGAATACTCAAATCAATGAAGGTTTGTTCGAAAAAAGTTAGTCTGAATGAGAAGACCGAAGTTTATTACCCTTGTTTACTATGTGACTGTAAAAATAGGCCAATACGAGAAAGTATCCATTAACATTTGCAAGAATATTCTAAATTAGAAAATGAACACAGCAAATGGAAGTTTTGGTTGTTAAAACATCTTTGCAAGGCCAGGGGGCTGCCAAAACTTATCATAATGAGAATGACAAACTCATGTTACAACCCAAATAACGAAACATTTGTTTTCCTAAAAAGCCACAGGCAACTCATATTGCTCGTATTAAAACGTCCTACATCTTAGAAACGTTTGGCGCTCGTTTTTATTCTTAGGCAATCGAGGGGAAAGGGAAAATTGATCTTATAAATAAACTTAAGCAGTTCTCTGCATGCTTTCTTGCTCCCCACTGTGTTTTGAATTAGTTAATTAGAACGGTTTGGCTTTAATGTTTTCATTAAAAAATTATGATTGATAGTCATGTCATGCGATGTGTAATAATCATGTCATTCATGGCAGGTTGGAAGAGGACGTGATAAATGATTTGTTGAGCAGTTTTGATTTAATTTTTATCCATAGTAGAGCTCATCCAAATTATTTGAACAAATATCTTAAAAAAACTCCGATCTAAACTCTTTTCGCGAGGCACGTGAAAACTAAAGCATACTCAAAGTTAGAACGGCTGCCTCGACGACCCAGGCGCCCCAATTCTTCCAGTCTTTTCGAGCTGAACTGACACACTATCATTGCCTAAGGGAAAGCTAACATGGTCACGATTTCTCTTATGAATTAGTCCATACAAAGAAGTAACCAAAAATAAAACTATGAACGACAACACCAACAGAAGCACCTGCTTATTCGCACAAGTTGTACGTAACGGTCTTAATGGCCAGAGAAAACCCTCAAAAACCCGGAATGTGTGAGTTCATGCATCAGTTAGTTTGAAGTGGAAAACGTATTTCAAGAGCCAGCGTTGAAGCACATCTAAAATTTCGGCAATGAAGTCTTGTCCAGTGACGCATGTACGCAGGTTTCCGCTGAGGTGAAGGCACGAACTCGGGAGGCACCTCACTGCGGTCCGATTGCGTTGGTATCCACGCAAATGTTCTTGTTTCCGGTGGAAGTCGAGAAAGCTTAATCATTATTGATTTCTACGGTTAAAATGCATTAGAATTACAACCTACATTTATGGTGCATTTCGGTGCAACTTCTGACGATTTTCAAATTCTGCTAAAGGACTCTCTTGTGTCTCCCTGCTGGTATTTCCCTGGGGGTCCCCCTGAATCCGTATTTGTTTAACAAAATAACAGAGGTCAATGTTAGTGAACAAGCATATCACTGTTGCTGTGAATTTGTAAAACAGTTACAATAACAAGAGAAAAAAAGCAGCAGAAACAATAACAACGACGAGAACAACAGGCAAACTGAAAACAATATGATAATTGTATCATTGTACACTGTTTCCACGTTGGGACTCGACAAAAGAGCCGGGATAGACATTCATTACGATGCTTAGACTTTTGATACGTGTACCTTCCTAAATTATCACCAGTGAAAATAAAAGATACTAGGAATGAATAAAGGTTACGATGATTCCTCAGTACACACAATATTGTAAATTAATCCCTTATTTTTATTAGAATTCTATATTCTTACTTTGTTTTATCACAAATTGTACTCTGTTTACTTCCGTTTCAGTGCAAACCTCTGATTAAAAGTTATCGCAAAGTTCGCCGAATTAGATATATCTGGGTTTGTTTTCTTAAGTATCAAAACGATAACTTTTGAAATCCAGACAATGTTCACGTGAACCCTTTGAAGAAGCGAACTCAATTTATAAAGCTTCCAATTCCGCATAAAGGATGGTAAAGAGTTTCAGAGCTTTTAGGTCAGTAGCTTGCAGAAAGATATGTGAGAAAAGCTTTAGAATAACAAAGGTGCATGGTTAACATGGTTGAGAATGGTGAGAAATTTTGTCTTTTGTCGATAGTTGTTTTAACAAATTATAACAAGGAAATCGTTGGAAATTTTTGGTGAGAACTAGAAATTAATAATAAAAACAAAGAGATAACAACATCAGCGACAACAAAAAGAGAAAACCCAAATGAAGCAATTTTAACCGCGAAAGACGACTTCGAAGTTTTCATGAACTCGGCCCAGTTTTCTTGCCCTTAAACATCTTGGACATGTACAGCTTCACTAACGATTTATGTCATGATAAACTGCATTATCTTTTGGCAAATAGCCTCCGACTGAAGCAATAAGGGCAAAGGCTGCTTCTAACATGGCTTTCATTTTTGTTCTTGTGTATGTGCCATACCAGGTAGGCATTTTGGTTATGAACAACACCGCCACAGTTGCTAAGATACCGACGATAAATCCAAAAAGTGATGCTTAGCCGTGAGTGTGTTTTTGTGTCAATCTTCTCTCTTGTTAGAACATCTGTAATCAAATTTCCCTAGGTTTAGGCAATTTTAACGTTTAGGATTGTTATTCGTATTTAGCTAATTCCGCTAAAAAAACTGCTCTGAGGATTTAATGAGCAAACCTCAATTACGAGGTTATTTTATTAAAAGGAACTATAACCCCCCAAATAAATATTCGGGACACCCCGTTCTAATTTACCTACAATAATACCTTCTCTAAAGGCAATCATGGATTCCTCGTAAAATCCTCGTCCTTTTAGATACATACTAAAATCAAGGTTTTGTCCAATGTTCTCTATTGTGTACCGGAAATTGGACGAAATTCAATTTAGAAAGAGGAAGCCATTTGGCAGATTTCATCGTAGCAAAATGTTTGACGAATTTAAGTGCAATGGTCATGATTATCTCAAGGAGGTCGGAAGCTTGGAGGATTTTTGATATGTCACGATACAAATTACCTGATCCTCCAAAGCTAAGGCTCTGTGATTTTCATTTGATCCTCCCTCATTGGCAGTTTATTGGCAGCCAATTTTCTATAGAGATTTGGTGAGCCGCGACTTCCCGTTATGTTTAGAAACACTGAATGCCAAGGGCGTAAGCAAGATCAGCTTCAAAGTGGGGGGTAACATGTACCCCAGGATACACTCCCTGCCCTGCATATTTGGGATACATTGATTTAGGTTAGAAAGAGGGTATGCTTTCGCGGGATCGCTTTTTCGGATGAAAAGTTATTCAGTAATCATATCATGCTGTGTTATTGCAGAGTTTTAACGATACTTCAGTTGTTCGTGTGTTCGTTGAGTGAGTCCGTGTAGGGAACACTTGGAACACCGTTCCTGTTTTCTGCTTCGACGACTGTCACGGCTGGCTTTCCGTGCATCTTGCATCTGAAAGGAATAGCCGTCCAAGTGACAAATATTTATTTATCATTTTCCTTAATTTGTATAAAGCCATTGTAAAGGTCTATGATGATAACTATAAACAATAAAATCCCTTAAAATGATCTATCATAATAATGCATTTGTCTGCTGTGTTTGCTTCATGTTAAGATTATCTCTTGACTCGCAACTCAGTAGAATGTAGCGGAAGTAAGGCTGTTGAATTACAGAGATAGAGCAAGAGAAGGAGGGGAAAAATTGGGAAAGGAAATAAGGAATGGATGGGTTGAGGTGGGTTTTGAAAAGGCAGAGACAGAGGAGAGGAAGGAGAGGTGGTAGATGTCACGAAGTGAAGGACGAATTTGCCGACGACGATGACATAGACATCGTTGACGGACGAGCGAAGAGGAATTGGACCACAATAATTAAATGATTTAAAGACCCGCAGGTCGGAGATTTAACTATAGTTATCTATTGTTGACCAACCTTGCCTATCTCGACAGACATACACCTTGAACCTCATGTGATAAATAATGGTGTCCACCTGTGAAAAGTGGCATTTAGGGAAATTTTTGGTCACATTTCATGTAGCTCATTATGGAGACAAAATTGCCCGAATGATGCAACCATCGGCCACTTTCACAAGGAGAATTACTAGAGAAACCACTTAATTTTATTACCACCAGGTAAAAGAGAATTCACTCCTCATCGCGGTTAGAGATTTAAGTGAGTCACTCAACAATAGGCAACTCTTCTAAAATAGTC